TATATATATATATATATATATATATATATATATCCTTAAACATTTGAAAATTACCTGATGATAATATGTCACTGTGAGATAAATTTATTGCATTTTAATCATGAGTATGAGATATACCCAAAATCTTTTCCATTTTCTTTTTATTCAAGCTTAAAGCACATTACATATAAGTAGTGGCTGAATTGGGTAGTAATTAATTATGTTTACTTATGTAACTTTACTTTGAAGTATCACTACAATTACTTGAGTAAAATTTCTGGATACCACTGAGCAACGTCAAGTAGTGAAAAACAAACTTAATTTAACCAAAAATTCACCAGACACAGACACACACCTGCAGTTTCTGCTAAAGTTTTATAATGAAAGAATTTTATTAAGAAAAAAGTATTTTGACTGAATTTTTAAATATTCAGTAATTCATGTTTCGACCAGTTTTCCAGTATTTGAGTAGCCTTTTTACCAAATACTTTCTTGCTCTTTTTGCAGTACTTTATTTTAAGGATAACTTTACAGAACAAAACATAAAAATAAGCAAAGCAACATATTAATATCTCTTCCTGGCCACTTCAAAGTAGGAAAAAGAAAAATGCAGAAGAGCAAAGCAATGTAATGCTGTTTAGACTGAGATGTAGCAATTTTTTTAACATGTCTGTGCAGAATCTAATAGAGGCACAGACATTTTCTTACTCTTTAGTAATTTCTTAGACAGCTACTTTTACTTTTACATAACAATATGTTTAAGTAGTGCTACTCCTACTTGAGCCCAATTTTTGGGTACTCTACCCATCTCTGAATAGTAGCTTATAACAGATAAATGTAGCAGATTTCCCAAATACTTCAATGTATGCTTTCCGAACTTGGAAAACAGATTTAATTTCAATGCTAACTGTGCTCCTGTGACTCTGCAGACAGTTTGGCTGCAGACAGTGGCCGCTCCTCCACAGAGTCGCTGCTGTCCAGGACTTCTCCTGCAGGGATGAGCCCACAAGTCCGAGAGCCAACCGCATCCCTCTCTGCCAGCCTGGGTTCAGCTGAGACACTCTGCGATGACGACGTCCCACCGATACCTCTGGACACACATAAAGATGGTAATGACATATACCACATGAACATTAGACACCAGTGACTGATGGATATGCTTGAAACATTAAGTTTTTCTCTTCCTTCCAAAACCTTAGCTGCAGCAGCATCTGTAGGAGGAAGTGGGATTCTTCTCCCTGGGGAGGATGATGTAGTTTACACCACGGCCTGCAGAGATGAAGAGGACATTGTTGCTACAGGTCTTGTTGAAGACCGGAGCTTGGTCTGTCGTCCAGTGAGCATCATCAGCTTTAACAGTGACTGTGGCTCTGAAGCTGCCTTCGCTTTAGAACCTCAACCCATCGGCATTAGCGGTGACGCTGCTTTAGATGGAGCAATGGAAAGTTACCACCTGTCTTCAGGAATTGCAGCAAACACAGGGGTTAAGGATGTGGTGGCAATGGCAGAGGTTGGTGGGACTGTTTGGCTTTTTATTTTGGCGAGGGCTGAAGCAGACTTACAGTGCTTTGCAAAACTATTCACATGTTATCCTTCAACTTTTAAAGCATTTAAAGCAAACAATGTTGTTTGGTCACAACAACCTAAAGTGTATATCATTAGCATTTTTCAGGATAGACCAGCACAAGGTAGTGCATAATACTGAAGTCAAAGGCAATAAATATGTGGTATTCTAATTTTTTACCAATGACTTTAGCCAATTGGTTCCAGAAATGATCTGAGGAGAAGTAAACCAGCTTCTAAAACAGTAATTTCAACATCAATCCATCATCTGAACATGGAAACAATGTAGCAAAACTGCAAAGCTACCAAAATTCACACAGGGCAAAGATAACTTTAATCAGAAAAGCAGCCAAGAGATCCATAGTAACTCTGGAGGGGCTGCAAAGATCAAATGTTTACTGTTTACTTCACAGCTCCGAGTGTTTTAGAGAGCAGTGGCAAAAGGAAAGCAGTTGTTGAAATAAAACTCCATCTAAAAGTCATGTACCAGATTTACCTTAGAAAGAAGAATGAGTAAGAGTTCCAGTCTGTGTAAAACTTACATTTCCTTCCATTTAAAAATAACTTTGTCAGAGTGTGTATGACATAAAATCCCAATAAAATACAAAGAAGTTGTAGTTGCAGTGTAACAAAAGCCTAAAAGACGTGAATACTATTGACAGACACTGTAGTAAACTAAAGCATTTATCACTGCATGTTGGATTTCTGGATGCCTGACTGTGTTGCTCACTGTTGCAGGTGGCGATGGCCAAGTTGCGGACTGGCGAAACTTTAGCCACAGGGATGTCAAACTCCGGATCACCCATGTCCTCTTGGATGAGCGATCTCAGCATGTGCAGCGAAGCAGATCAGTCTCTGCACAGCTTCAGCCAGTCTCAGAGTCAGCAAGGGGAGGCACTGGCTGATTCTGAAGCCAGGCAAAGCTTTGAAGTTGAGATTTTGGATGGATGTGGGAGCGGGGGAAGCTCAAGAAGAGGCAGTCTGGAAGGAGAGCTGGTTCTGTCAGAGAAGGCGTCGGATAAAGGGACTCCAAACAGAGACAGGCAGAGAAAACTGCCACCATCTATGGCGAAAACTAACATTCAGATTCTGCCTGGGCCTGGAAATGTTTCCCCTTTCAAGACTACAATAAGTGTTCACCCTTGCATGGTTGTCAAACCCATGATTATACATGAGCCCACAATCTTCTCCTCCCCAATAAAGACGGCTTTAATGAAAGACACAGGGAAAGCTAAAGCTGAAATTTTAGCCTCCATCTCCAGTGAGATCAACTTTGAAGACCCTTGGTTGAAACGTGGAATGGAGGAAGGAAGGCCTAGAGAACTTATCTGTGAAGTGAAGCCAGAAAAAAGGGAAGTAGAGCCTTTAAAGAGCCATGGAAGGGACTTTTGCAAGGACGGTAAGAAACAAGCAGATATTGTCCTCAAGCAAAATATATTTAGCTTGTATTATTTCTTTATTATTTTGAGTTCATTTTCATGTGAACTCTCTCCTTAGGTGGGGATCACAGTAGCTCTGGATCAGGCGGTGAAGTGGTTTCCTCTCTAGACTCCTTCAAGAGAGTCGTGGACGGTTGCGAGATGATCACTGTTGCTGTCCAAGGGGAATGTTTGACTGGTATCTGCAGCCCAGATATCCACCGCACAGCGAGTCTTCCCCGCGGCTGGCACCGACTCAACCACCACGATGGCTTAGAAAGTGGAACAGAGTACCGCAACCTTGGAGTCACCAATTCAACACCCTGCAGTCCCCGTGCCACACTTGAACGCTTAGGATCCAAAGGAAAACAGGGATTGTTCTCCCACAAGAAGGGAGGAATCCCACCTCTTCCACCAGTACGAAAGTCCAGCCTTGACCAGAGAAACAGGGCAGCCAGTCCTCTCCCCCAACCCACTCATGGTGTGTCATCACTAAGCAGCTCTACAGATAATTCAGGGATCACCAGACAGCGCGGTTCCAGCATCGACAGTAGCAGACTCTTCAGTGCCAAGTTAGAACAACTGGCCAACCGAACAAACTCCCTTGGCAGAGTCCACGGCTCGCACAGTGGCTCCCACCACTATGACTGCTTTTCCCTGGAGAGAGGTGAGAGCCTTAGGGGGGCAGGAGGAGTCAGAGGGGACTCCACCATGCCTCGCACTGGTCGCAGCATCACCCGGACCGGCTCAGTATCGTCGCCCATTGGGAACCCCAGCAGTCCCAGTTTCAGTGGAGGCAGTAGTCCAAACAGTGCTCCACAGTCACCAGCCAAGAGCAGTGGCCAGTCAAAGATCTCGGCAGTCAGTAAATTGCTTATGACCAGCGGTCCTAAATCTAGGAGTCTCTCTGCATCCAGCACCAAGACTCTGAGCTTCTCCACCAAGTCTTTAACCCAGACTAGCAGCCGCAGCTCCAGCCTCCCCCCGAATGGAAAGGTAAGGAACTGCCTCTAAGGGTGTTTTCACACCTGACAGTCCAGTTGGCTCGGCTCTTTTGGGGACCAAAATTACAACATTTGTTACATTTTCTGCTGTTGCAGTTTTCTTTCACGCTGCACTGTGTCAAACAAACCAAAGTCTTTGGAGAAACTTGTTTCCCTCCTTGCCTGTGGGGGGCGCTACACCAAGAAGGAAACAACAGTATTTTTTTAGCAGTTGTAGGATTTCTCTTTTGTTTTTAGTAACAAAAAAGACCACAAGGCATTTCTCTAGCTAGACTTGCTGGTTTGTTTTGGTCATATTTACCCAGAATGCCCTGCGCTATAGTTTACTTCCTGCTTTTGGAGTGGCTTCTGGTTTGCTTGGCGTTCACATATGCATTCATACCGTGTCAGATTTCACTTCAACCGAACCAAGACTGAGGTTTTTATGTGGTCTAGAGTTAGTCCAATTGTGCATCTAAACCTCCCAAACAGGTTTCTAGGCTAACAAACAATAATTAAAAATAGAAAGCGGATTAAACAGGGCTGGTGTGAATGCACCCTAAAATAGAAAGGGATCCAACTTCTCTACCAACTCACATGTGAACCATTGAGCTGATGATGTGATGTTGCTTTTCTTTAACGAATAAACCCTAGAACTCAGTCCAGGCCCCCGTTCAGCAGCAGCAGCAAGGATCTGCCCCTGGATCGTGGTCGACCCAGTCCCTGAGCCGCAGTAGGGGGGGAAGTCTAACAGCCAAACTGCCTCTGCGGGCAGTCAACAGCAGAATCTCAGAGCTCCTCCAGGGAAGTGCAGGATCCCGCTCTAGGGGCCACGTCCAGGGAGGAAGCACAGATCGAGCCGAGGAAAAAGGACCTGCAGCAGCAGTGAGGTGAATTTGTTTTTATTTCATTTTGTTGAAGCTGCTGTCACACTGTTTTCCATCTTGCTATAAACAAAACAAATATTTCTGTTACTAATCTGTTCATGTTTTATTTTGTATCTTGCTTCTTGACTTGTTTTTCTCAGTGGAGGTGGAGCATGTGGCGATAACCTGGGAGAGGAGAGGGCAGCTGTGGTGCAAACACTCCCCTCTCCTTACAGCAAAATCACAGCCCCGAGGAAACCGCACCGCTGCAGCAGCGGCCATGCAAGTGACAACAGGTAAAGTGAACAGTGAAGTCAAGTCTTGATTTTCCAAATATGTATTTATTTTTTTATCTTAACTGGATTGTTTCTTTGTCTCCAACAGCAGTGTACTGAGTGGAGAACTGCCCCCAGCTATGGGGAAAACTGCCCTGTTTTACCACAGCGGAGGCAGCAGTGGTTACGAGAGCATGCTAAGAGACAGTAGTGAGAACACAGGAAGCACTTCCTCGGCTCCAGACTCACTCAGTGAGCACAGCTCAGCCACCACCTCCTCCCGACGGAGCTCCAAGAGCAGCAAGAAGAGCAGGAGCAACTCAGGTTGCAGTTTCACATATTTATTAAAAGGGATCTTTATCCAAAATTCACATTTTGTAAATTTTATTCTTCCGTTTTGGCCTGATCTGCTTCTAAAAACAGCCCACATGCTTAAAGAGAACCACCCAGCTGTTTTTAGGATAATAAGTTACTGTTTTTTGATGTTTATAAAATAAGCTATTTCCAGTACATTTGGTCAGCTGGGTATAGTACAGTATGTGCTGTACAATGGCTGCTGGAAAAAAGAAGAGCTTTGTTGTTGACTTACCATCCAGAAACCAGTTGCTGCATTTTTGTTCTTTATGTGGAAGGCTCTACTTTTGTTTTTCAAAGATGTATGGTTGTATAGTATGCATCTATTTGCAGCCATTTTCATGTGTGAGTGTAAATGTTGAGTTGGGGGTCATGGCCAGTAGCAGCTTATTTGGATTTAAAAAGACAAGATTCCCTAAAACAGCTCATCCTGAGCCAACCAGATGAAAATCTTATTATCCAAGAATTATTTTGTGCAAAAATATATAATGAACATGTTTTGGATAGACAACAGACTTATCCTAACCTGTTCAAGGTCACCTCTAATACATCACCATCACAAAAAACTCCCAATGTAGTAGGATTACTTTGGTTAATAATGAATTCAGACCAGCTTTGTTTCATCAGTATCTCGTGACCCTTCATCCACCCTGTGGTATTAAGGGAGCTGCCTGTATGGGTAATTTCCATTAAGATATAATTAGAAACTGAATAGAAGACAAGAAATTACCACAAACTCACTGCCAAATGAAATTATAATGGAGATAAGCTGAAAAGAAAAATTTCCAGCCAATTTCAGCTTGCAAATCACACTAAAAAGTCAAAGGATATCAAAGAAGATGAGAAAAACTAATAATGATGACAGAAACACCCAAAAAAAACAGGCATGAAAAAGTGAACAGACAAGCAAAAAGAGCAGAAAGCTGTCTGAAGGAGGAGCCAGGTAGGAAAGGTGACCCTGACCAGCCATCTGTGAAATGGTAAAAGGGAACGTGGCGGTGTAGGCTGTAATGAATATATATTCACCAGAATCTAACACAAAGAGCTTGCTAATGTACCTGCCAAATGACTCTCTTCTGCTTCAGCATTAGGGTGGCTGTGTGCATGAAATCAGATTGGAAAGAGGCAGCCTTGTCTGCTGCGAGACTGATTATTGATTTAAACTGGAATTAGCCTTTCATTCCCAGTGTGTACGGTCTCACCTTCCGAATATTCAGCATAAAATCTGGATTTATTTTGGTTTAACCCCAACAGATTCTGTTACAAAAAGAGTCAATGTGCTTTCAGGGTGTCGCACAAAGGACTGCCTTGATGGAGGAAAGTGAATTTTGTGTAAAATGATAAAAAAAGACATTTTCATTCCACCACCAGCTCAATCTCTTTTTGTGCCTGATTGCCATTTGATTGGATTCCTTTTTTTTTTTTAATCAATTTTCTTGACCCTCCGTCCTGCGTCCTAATGAAATACAAATGTCTCTGCTTGACCTTTGGGCTGAACTGAGACCAAAGCCAGCGGGAAAATCATATTAAAACCACTGCTTTCCTCTATCTTAGCATCTTATCTCTCCTTTCTTTTCTTAGGCTTTCAATGGAAAGTCTGTGATTATAATATTTAGTCTACAACTCAAAATACAGACAAATTATTGCTCAATATTTGACTGACACCTTCCCTCCTCAGTTTCTCTGCATATCAGAGAAACCCTTCTGTTCGTCTCGAGTCCAGTAGGTCGACTTCAGGACAGATACACTCAGATTCACTGTATATTGTAAGAAAAGAGGAAATCAAGTTGGTGGTTAACATCAGTTCAGCAGCTTCTGTCCCTATGCATTAAATAAAATATAATAAATAACACTAAACTACAGAATAATAGCTCAAAATGAGCAGTTAGCAATTGTAAAATTAAACATAGTTAAAACAGGCAACATTAATAACGATAATGGTTAAAAACACACCAAAGGTAGCAAAATTACTTATGAAACACTATACATTATTAAATTTGTCTAAAATATATGTGAAAATATAATACTTGTAAACAAACAGCAACAGAAAAAGGAGGAGGAGCTGGTTGCTATAGTAACCACCAACTGTCAAGAGCAGCATGACAATAAATGTCTGAAAAAACAATTTCCTGACTAAACAATATACATTCAAATAATAAATAAACTAATTTTGACCAACTTCACACTTAAAATATTGTTAAAATAAAACCTTGTTACAATCTCCTCGCCTGAATTTGTCAAAATTACAAAACAAACACATTGGATTAGGGAAATAAATAGAATAACATTTCTAAAATGAAAATCCAAATGAATCCCATCATATCACTGCCCATCTCCAGTGATTGCTATGTATATTCTGCAAAAATACAGAATCAATAGCTATTTTTGCAATTTGTCCCTCACAATCACAAACCTCAATTCATGTGTATTTCATATAAGATTTACACAGAAAAGTGTAGACTTGGGAAGTGGGAGGAACATTACATGTTTCCAATGTTTTTAAGAACCACTACTTCCTTTATTTTTTATTATTTCAGTGAAAAATATGATTTTGGGTGGAATACAGTTGAAGCAAACAGGGAAATAACAAATGCAGCCTGTCAGGATGAGCAGCTGGGTTTCATGGTGATGCTAAATTTGACTTTTCCCTGTATTTTGATTTGATTAGAAGAACTATACTAAACATGGGTATATTATAGATACATTTCCAAATACATCTCTTTAAAAAAATATATTTAACTTAAAAATTGGTTTAATTGTAGCTTATTTGATAGAAAATGGTTTTTAAATCAATTTTAGCATTGCAAATTAATATAATCACATACATTTTAAATAAAAAAAACCCGGCTGGGTAGGAATAGAGTTATTTATTTAAGTATTTGATTCTTTGTAAAGGTATAATAAACAAATATTTGTTCGATCAAATTGTTTTTCTACACCTGTAAATACTCACTCCTGTCTCTTCTTACAGGCCTCCAGCGGCGACGTCTGATCCCAGCTCTGACCCTGGACTCCTCTTCTTCGTCACCTTCTCAGCGCTCCTCCAAACAAGCCATCACCTCCTCCTCGTCCTCCTCCTCCAGCCCAGGTGCATGCTGGGTGGACGGCCCACTGGGGCCTCCTGTGTCCTCAAACCACCGCGGTGTGGCTGCATCCACAGAAACCATTGAGATCAAAGTGTACGAGATCGACGATGTGGAGCGACTGCAGAAGAGAAGGGACAAAGGAGGGAGCAAGGTATGGTTCACTATAGATTTGAGAAGATGGTACAGAGAGCTTAAAGGTGACATATTTTGCTTCCTTAAACAGGTTAAGATATGAACCAAACGAAACATGTTTATTACCTTTTTCCACACAAAATCATTCTTAGATAATGAGACTTCATCCTGCTCAGTTCTGCCTATTTTGAGGTTTCTTATAACTTTAAATCCAAAACAGCTGCTGCTGGCCATTCAATGTTTACACTTTCATGTGAAAATGGCTAAATGGCAAACTCTTTGAAAAGCAAAAGTGGAGCCTTCTGCACAAACAACAATAATTCAGCCATTTTATAGAGAATACAGCAGTAAAACCAGCTGACCAAACGTGCCCGAATTGCATTTGTGTTGCTAGGTAACGGGTTGACCCAGGCCAAGGTTGCTAGGTAAAGGCAAAGTGAATTAATAATCAGGACGACTCCAAAAAAAACATTAACTTAATGCCAAAAACAGCTGGTTTTTGCACTGTTTTTAGAAGCAGCTCTGGCTCTGACAGATTATTTCATTTTGCTATAAGTGAAATATTTATATATTTATTCCTTAATATTTTTAATCAATATTGAGAAACAAGCTCCTGTATCAGGTAAAATGTTTATTTCAAGTGTACAAAAACATTTGCTCTAAAAAAAAGCCAAAAACACTTGGTAATATTCTGCATTGAAAAGAGAATCGGAAGAGAGGAAAAAACACTGAGATAGAAAGAAGAAATTATTTTTTACAATATGAAGTATTCACAACACACCATAAGCAATGTGGAGTCTTCCTGATGTAAGAGGGATTTGCGGAACGGACTGCAACTTGGGAAATTATTGCAAAAATATGCACAGTGCCGGTTTTTGGGTTTCCATTGTTAAGTCTCTGTGTATTCAAGGGGGAAAGAGTGGTGAGCTTTGGAAAAGAAGGAGGAGAAAATAGCATGAAAGATAGATTTTCCCTGCAGCGGCCTTAAGAAAGCCACTTAACCCCCAACTGGTCCAGCGAAGCGGCTCTGTGTCCCACATACCCGACTGTGGTCCAACTGGGAATCGATGAGGGGTGAATGTGTGCAGCCGTGTGAATGTTAAACACGGTCCTGCTGAAAGTGCCTTGCAAGTTGCTCCTCTGGAAATGTAAAGGTAAATAAAACCCTTTCACTCTGCTGGCACTTTCTCTGTTTGTGTGTGACAGGAGGGTGTGTTTGTCAGCGCCAGGCTGCGTGTGTTGGAGCACCGCCAGCAGCGAATCAGTGAAGTCAGAGCCAAGTACCAGTGTCTGAAGAAAGAACTGGAGCAAACCAAACAGCACTTGATGCTAGAGCCACACAAATGGACAGCTGAGTGTAAGTGTAGCACATCAGGGAACATGATGTGTGTGAGAGAGGAGATAAGACGTCGGCAGCTGGTTAAAGGAGGCTGTTAAGAGCTCATTTGTCAGCAATGAATGTATTAATCCAATCATTTATCACGCACATTTATTAGCCTCATTTACTATTCAACTTTATAGTTTAGCCATATTTTAGTCTAGACTGCTTCCTTCATTTTCTCTACACACCCTCTGCAAAAAACACTTTAGAAATAGAGAATATTTCTGGGTAGAGAAGCAGCTCTGGTAGCTTTTGTTGCTGAACCTTCATTAGTAGTTTTCTATCAGCATAACATCTGTTAATATTTTCTGTTTACTGTTGAAAACAACAGTTTTATGTTGGAGTTTCATGATTTAGGCTCAAGTTTCCTACTTTATGTTGGAATAACATTGAATAAAAGTTTCAGTCCCAAGAAAAGCTGTTAACTTGGGTCACATGTGTCAAACTGAAGTCCCGGGACCGAAATCCAGCCCACCATAGCTTTTTATGTGGCCCTCTAGAAAAACACTTATTTAGAGCCTTCAAGAAAACAGTTGTGTACTTAAATGTTATTTTACCAATCAAATCACAGGAGTTTTTATCTGCATGCTGTCAAATTACATTAATGTGAAAAGATGTTTAACTTTAAGAAGTGCAGAAATACATATTTATTTATATTTTAACACTTTAATGGGTAGTTCTATCAATACATTTTGCCACAACTGGCTCTTTGTTTACATTCATGATCTCGATGTAAACATCAAAATTAGGTCGAAACTCCTGGCTTAGATGGAGGACAATATTAATATTTTGGTAGACTTGTTGTCATACTTTTGCATTTTCAGATGGACAGAAAAATGAGAAAATGTTATTACAATATGATGTTTACATTATAAATTCCTAACTAAACTACAAATAGTTCAAGCAGTGAATTGTTCCATATACACAAATATTTTTATTCACAAAGCATTTAGTTGGCTTTTGGTTAAGAAATACAGTTGAAATTCCCCTTTTATGCTTTTTTTAAAAAGAATGATTATAATAACTAATGCTTTGAATGATCAACTTTTATTTAGCCAAACTTTAATTACACAATACAAGAGATGCTTTAAATGTTGTTTTCCTCTTCCACCACGCAGCAAAAGAACCAGAACTCACTTTCTTCATCCGTTTTAAATGTGACAAGTGGTTATTAAAAGCTCCCTGCTTAATTATTATATGATTATAATTGTACATTTATGAATCATCACTAATGTTATATTGAATGTAATAAATATTATTTGGCATGAAAAGTTGTCATTGTTACATAAATTACTCAAACAACCAAATCCGCCAACATAAAAAACATAATTCTTCCTTCCTCCTCTTTCCAGTCGAACTGCAGCAGCCCTACGACGTGGACTCAGTAGAGTATTTGGAGGCACTGGAAACGGTGACCAACAAACTGGAAACCAGAGTTAACTTCTGCAAAGCCCATCTTATGATGATTACCTGCTTTGATGTGTCCTCAAGACACCGGTAGACAGATGAGAGGCGCAGAAAGACCACAGTGAGAGAACATTATTCTAACAGTGGACAACAGGAGCGTAGGGACGGAGCAACCCGTTACTCATGCATCTCCCCTGGATGGACAAAGGGACAGATCAGATGAACGAATGGAGAGATCTACAGTGAAAACTAGCAAACATCAAGTTTTTGGTGTTTGAGTGAAACACTCAAAGAAGAGAAGGGGATCGTAGAACGGCAGATTACTGAATGAAACATCTAACACCACACACACCGAGTTAAGAATGTACGGAGAAAAAGAAAACCGGACAACAAAAATGCCACTTCTCAAAAAAACAACAAAGAAAAGGCGGAAGAAAAGAAATCAGACATGTAGTTCATTTTCATTTTTAAAAAATAAAAATAAACTACACTTATGATGAATGTAATTTACAGGTACATTACTGAACTCGTACATGAGGTTTAACGACAGAAAGATGCTGAATTGTATCCCTGAGAGAAAGACAAGAGGAAATGATTAAGATAAGTGCCTTGAGAACATTTCTAACACCACCACGACCAATTCTTTCTGATTTTTTGTGTACATGCCGTTGGTATGGTGCTAGTGTAGAAAAAAAAATTGATGTCCTCGGAAATTTTCATTTTGCAATTTCCTAGTGTGATGTTTTTCTGTGGGTCGGTGTTTCCCAGTTCGATTTTTAAAAAATGTTTTAGTATATTACCATTGGTTTGTTAATGAGAGTAATTACAGCTCTGGAAAAAAATTAAGAGACCACTTAAAATGATCAGTTTCTATGATTCTACTTTTTATAGACATGTTTGAGTAAAATGAGGAATGGTGAAAATAACTAAAAAGATGCAGAGCTTTCAGACCTCAAATAATGCAAAGAAAACAAGTTCATGTTTATTTAGAAACAACAATATTAATGTTTTACCTCAGGAAGAGTTCAGAAACCAATGTTTGGTGGAATAACCAGGAGGTTTTCAATGGGGTTCAGTACAATTTTTTTTCCAGAGCTGTACATGACCGAAGCAAAATCTGATGCGAGACGTGGAAAATTCAGATTCAGTGTGTAAGAGCGCAGAGGAAAAAAAGAAATCTAATTTATGGAGCAGTCTCTGCCTGGACCTCTATCTCAAACAACGCACGTCTGGGTTTGGATCAGCGGGACTCAGAAGGATTCCTGCCGCTCGGGTCCCCTGATACGGATGTGATCACTTTTTCATGTTCACAAAGGAAAGAAGTGTCGGAGTCACAGAGGAGCGGAGGTGGAAAGATCCATCTCTGATCCACTTTTAAGTGCATCCATTGACTGACTGGCTGCTGAGTGACTGGACGTTATTTGTATCCGTGTTGTTCTGCTCTATTCTAAAAGAAACTGAATGATTTGTAAAAGTGTGTGTTTTCTAATAAGGTTTCTTTTTTTATTTGGGAACAATGGGACCATGTAGAGGCTATGTGTGACGACAAAGAAATATTTAAAAGGAACTGCGACGAGGAAAAGATATAATAGTACAGAGTATGGTATTGAAATTGAATTATAAAATTTTCAGTGAAGTGATTAAAGTAAGATTACGTTGTGTTGAAACACTAAAATAAATAAAAATAAACTACACTTATGACACTTATGATGAAAACTTCTTGAAAGTCATAGCTCTCTGCCTGGTTCCATTTACATTGAATGGATAGAAACGCTAAAGATTTGTTAATATTATTATCTATGGTGTTTGAGATGTTTATGATCTAAATGTTTGTAAAAAATATAAATAGATGATAGAGCCTGTTCCCCTACAGAAATGTCGTCTTCATATATCTCTTCTCCATCACAGGAATCACCGTTGTTGTCCAATAACTCCACAGTTTACCTTTGCTACACATCATGTTTTCACAAAAACGTCACATTATGGGTTTGACGCCTCGAAAGCTTTGCTTGATTTGTCTGTTTTTATAAAATTTACCAAAAGAAATACAGTTGACATCTGATTTTTACATACACTGTATAAAAAGACAACCTTTTCCCTAAATTAAACCAAACTTTCCTTATTTTAAGCCAGTTAGGGTTATCAAAATAATTTCTATTAGAAAATGCCAGAATAATGGGAGAGAGAATAGCTTAGAAAACTTTTACTACTTTCTTTAAAGTCAGAAGTTTACATACACTATGCTATGCCTTTAAACAGTTTAGGACGTTTCTGATTAATTTGTGCTAATTACAAACTAGCCTGTTGATGTATTAGTACAGCAAATATTGAAGAAATATCTCTATACATTTGTTTGTGAATTGGAGATTGGATAAAAATGGTCTTAGAAATTAACATTACCCCGAGATATATAGACAAATTAGTTACAAAGTGCCTTAAGAACAACAAAATTTGTGTTTTTGAAGTGGCATCCATGTCAACGTCTGATTCTGAAGTAATAAAAAAAAAAACTTATTTCTGGCATTTACCACATAAAAATACTTCAACAGGAAGGGATTTAGTCTGCAGTAATGTCACTGAGGAAAAATATGGATGAGTCTTTTATACATTGTATGTATTTATGTAGTTTTAGCTGTATTTTCTGTCGAGTCTGTATTTTGATCTGTATGGCTGTTAAAAAGAGATAGAACCATTGATGTTTATATGGAGCAGACCTGTGATAAAAAGCCATGATTTGATATAACTTAGACAACAAGAAGGTTTTAATGACTCTGTTGTGTCAATTGTTTGGGGGATTTAACATGATGCCATTTCTTCTTCTTCTTTTTTAAAAGTAGTTCAGTCCACCTGTTATGAATGAAAGTTTATTTATTTTATGCTCAAAGCGAAAACACCCTAATTAAGCTTCTTATTTATTTACACCCTCTTATCTTGGAGTTTCTATGCATTTAACAAAAAAATATCTGTACATACTTTGTTCAGTCCATGCCACATATTAATACATATGCTGTGTACACGTGCCATATATACAGTTATTTTTTATTTTACATCTTCTTTTGTTGCTGCTGCTGTAGTTTTCTCCATTTGTTTCTCTTTGGGGAATTTTAATGAGTTTTTTCAGTTTTTTATTAAAGCACCAACCCTCTGATTATATGATTGATTATTATCCATCTGTAACTAAAAACAAAGTTAAAAAATGTTGCTACTGTTAATCGCAGCAACATAAAGATAATAGAGGCCTAAACTATTTCCAGCTTTCTTTCAAGAGTTTTAATAGATTTCTTCTATTTAAAAATACCACAGTTTGTTGTTCTGTATTCACATACATGTAATTATTTTAAAGATAAACTGTTTTCCATAACTAATGTTGTTGATTGCAGAGTTATTGCTGAAGAAGTTTATTAAATATGCAACAACAAAATCTAAAATCAAGAAACTCAGAAAATATAAGGTTCACATCAACAAAGGCAGACAACATTTTTTGAGAAGATTAAACTTATGCTTCCATTAAAATCACTAAAAAGATCACAAATGATCACAACTTTTAAAGCTAAGCTAGTTTTAAACTTCTACGTTTCTTTAATGTAGCAGCAGAAAGCATAGCTATGATGCGCTAACAATGTTAGCAAAAAACTAACAGTAGTTAACTTCTTTAAATCAATTTTAATTGTAAATCAAGCTTATAAATACATAAGTTACCAAAAGTTTTGAAAAAGATTAAGTTTCATAGTTAGGCTTTGCAAAAAAATAGATATGATTATTGCATAAAAGTCACTTTATTTTTACAGTAATTATCAGATAATTTGAGTATTTCTGCATGGGGGTTAGCTTTCCCCAAAGCAACTGGCTCTCCGGGCTTGATGTATTATATGATATCTGTGATTTATTTTCCCTTTTATTTTTGTAAGTTGTGTTAAAATCTTTTGAACCCATAAATTCTAAGCTCTTCGTTCTTTTTGAAGTTGTATTCCTCTTTTTGTCCTTTTCTGTAGGCTGCATCGGCTTATGCTTAGAAAACTGAACACATTTTTGTTAAATCTCTTGAATGAAAGCTGGAAGTCTAAACCTTTATTAAAGCTTGAATACCTGATCTCAGATCCAGTGTTAATAAAGTCCAAATACAGGAGAAGCTGACTGCAAATGAGAACGGAAAGAACAAGAATGTCAGGTAATAAAAGCTAGGATCAGAAGTTTTCAAATGACAACCTGTGTAAACAGAAATGCCCAAATTTTGATTATCAATAGCTTGGTGTAATTAGAAGATAATAACTACAATCCTTTACGTGTTTCCAGTGTTAAGATGCTATGTGGGAGGTTTCCCCTTCGAGTTGCTGACAAATCTGTCTCCTTTGGTAGTACTTTATAGTTCAAGCAATAACTTATCATCAGCAGAGAGTTTGGTGTTTATTTAACACTAACGTGAATCTATGTGAAATATGTGGCGTGATTAAACCAAATTATTACCTGTTTATCTGAAGCCTTGCTAATTATAATGTGTTATCAGAAAATCTGACACATAGCATCTTTAAATTGTTACGGAGAAATATGATGTGGAGAGAAAAACAAAAACACTTATGAAGTTGTAAGAATTTCTATTTAAATAAGTGTTTGAAAAGTTTCTGTACCAAAATATCCTTAATAATGTCAATAAATGTCTAACATAACACAAACATAGGGCAAATAAGATAATATGCCGTGAAAATACTCTGGTTGTATCTATGCTGTCTCCATAATTCAAGTTTGTATGGCCCACTGTAGATTTCCTGCTTCAGTGAAATAAGGTCTGACTCTTTTGATGGAAAATAAGATAGAGGGATGTAAATAAAGGAATGTATGGAAAGAGTTTAACATCTGACTCTTTGTTGATTTTGCACACACACAAAAAAGATGCACTGTGTTGTTCATTAAATCCTGATTAAATACGAAATGTTTTCACGATGATCGTGACAGATCCATGACTGGACGGACAGCCAAAGTCAATCCTTTTTCAGCTTTTCCAAACCTGTTTATGAATCTGATGTGGAAATATCAGATATTATTTTACAAGTAATAAAACTTAAAACATTACTGTTTAAACTTGACCTTTAATAACATAAAGTGCAATCAGTAATACTTTTATAACAAATTTATATCAGTAATGATTTCTTGGTTAATGTCAAGTTGTCATAACAAAGGCATTTTGAATAATGTCAACTTTGTATTAAAAGTGTCATATTTTACCGAATGACGCTTTATGACAACAGTCATAAATATTAATTAAGGCTTATTCATGTTCATGACAGGTGTTATGTCATGTTTATGACGGTGTAATGTCAGTCTTACTCACCCCCCTTCAAATAAAGTGTTACCAAAATTATACCTGGCATAAAATCTGCCATTCAAGAAACAGAAATGCAGAGAAACGAGATTACAGGAAAAGAAAATAGTTCTCAAAACCACCTGTTATGGCAGTAATTGGACAAATTTAGATAAACTCTGAAGCTCAAGGTAGGAGAAAAAGACTGAGATTGAGTTCTTGGTGGCAAACTTGTAATTACATTTAAAATTCAAATCAGTAGATGAATATTTAGTTAGTTGCTACATTAAAGATGTTACAGCTAAACATAAGGGAGATGTGAAAAATAGAGCTGTGAAGCTGACAGCGAGGGTAGTGAGATATGATGGCAGGCTGATAATATAAAAAGTGTGTAAAAATGATGGAGTGCTGCAGGAGGAAAAGTGAAAATTAAAACTGCGGTAGAATGAAGGGTGAAAGTTGCACCACTGAGCTCAGGTCGACTACACTTAGGCAGTAAAGCAGAGATGAAACGTCAATTAATGCAGGATTAATTTAAAAGCCTCCTGGATACAGATGAGAGTTGGTGACAGCGGGTTTAGATTAAGCAGTGGTAAATCTAATTCAATGAACATTATGCATAAGAAAGGAAAATGGAAGAAGAAGAAAGAGGAAAAACAAACAGAGCCACTCGGCAAAATAAAGGTCACAGAAAGAAGCAGTTTATTAGTTCACTACTCTTAAAAATATAAAATATTAAAGGTGTGAAATTAGACCCTAACAAATGTGAGAAGAAAAAAATAAAAGCAACATCATGCATATGAGACACTTTATTATCCCGACCTACCCTCTGACAAACACACACACTCCCCCACCCAGACATACAGGAAGTGCAGTCATCAGTTTGAATATGTCAGAATTTTGGGATTATCTTTGGAAGCATTTCCATCTGACCTCACACACCGACCGAGAAACACACAAAAACAGGGATTAACCAGCGAAGAGTGTGTGTAATGGATGAGCACAGAGAAGTCAGGATGTTTTGAAATTCTGGCTTTGCTAAACATACACACTGAATCGTGTTTTCATGACTTGTGGGGACTTTTCATTGACTTCCCTTCATTTTTTATAGCCAAAGTCTTACCCTAGCCCAACCCTTAACCCTAACCCTATCCATAAAACTAGCCATCACATAGCTAACTCCTAACTCAAAGACAATATTTCCCTTCATGGGGACAAATAAAATGTCCCCACAGGGAGCAGTGGTCCCCACAACCCCACATTGTAGACAAATAGGTCCCCACGAGGCTATAAAAACCAGGTTCACACACACACATATATACACACACACACAGGGACACTCATCAAGATGGAATCTGCAGATTACGCAGCAGGCCGGGCCCCCAGGGGACTCCAACTTCTGGGTTTCTCACTCACTGCCAGGGGATAAAATAACAGGCTACAGATAAAACTCAAACCACTGAGAGATCGCAGCCACCAGGTCAATGTGTCAAAACAAGCTGTCAACAGCAGCTGCTTTGCACTTCAGACTCTGTGTGGTTTAGTTTTAGTTTCAGTCAAATGCAGGAGTTCAAATATTTTCACTCTGTCTGTGTGACGCTCTCAAATTGGGGTTTAAGTCTCTTGGGGAAGCGATGTTGATGTGACCCAATGGAGGGAGGTTCAAGTTGTTTTTTTAAACCTGGTTTTCTGTTATTACCAATTCTCACTTCCTCTATTGTCTCTAAGCTCATTATAGCATTTTTAATATGCACATTTTACAATAATGAACAACTAATTATCTTTGAATCACCATTCTGGTGTAATTATACCACTTTTTCTTGATATTTTCATTATAAACACTAATGCATCCTTCACAAGCTTTGTGTTGCTGTAAATTGTAGGAGGTTTGCTACCTTTTAGCAAATCTTAAGTGTTTCAAGACAATTATTAACACAATTAATTTCTCAGGGCAAGACTTGGAAAATACAAGCTGATAATGTCATCGGTAAATGTATGTTAGAGAGTATCTTTTTAATAAGTGAAGCCAAAAAAATAAAATAAATAAAAGTACAATCAAATCAAATCAATAAAGAAACACAGTTCTGTACCAACTACACTTCTATATAATTGTGTGGACAGTGTCGGTTTCTGATATGAGCGACATGGGCAACCGCCCAGGGCTCCCTCCGTTGCCAAATCAGGTTAGAGGTCGACCACTCAGAAATGTTCCCTCAAAATGTAGTTAAACTGTGCGGATGTTAGAGAAAGAGTCATTTAAGAGTGATTTATAAACAGTTTTCTACCTTAAAAACAGTCTGTTTCACTCGGTGGCGCACGCTCGTGGGCTAGTTTGCCCTTCTCAGTGTTTGACAGGCTGGCAGGTTTGCCCTATGCATTGTCTTGAATGCATGGCGCAAAGGTAACGCTGTGGAGCAGATTGGTTTCCCCCACACTTGCAGAAGTTTGTGAAGTTATGCTTTGTGTTTTATTCAGTGCGATAAGTACCAAATTGCAAATAAATAAGTGTTAAGGAAAAGTATTTTGCAAAGCATATTCACTTTTATTTTGTTCATGCCGAGTGAAAGTAAAACTAAGATTTAAGTGCTTAAGTCCTAAAACATAACAATTTTATAAATTGTTAATATTGCATAAAGTCAGAGTCTACTGTAGTTTGCACAATGTCAGCATAGAAGTCTAATTTCTCATATATTCAATGTTAATTCATATTAAATCTCTGTTGGAGAGAATGTGGTATGCAGATTTGAGCTAGGGCCGCCTCTGTTCCCGGGGCGCACTGGATCTCACCCGGTCACTTTTTGGCACAACACCTGTTTGGTTTGTCGGCACCTGCAGCAGCTTGCAGGTGCCATGTGACAGAATGTTTTTTAAAATTACTATATTAAAATACGTGCCAATAGTTTCCTGGAAAAATGGGAGCCTTGGCAGGTATGTCCATTCATGGTTTTACTATGTCCATTTAGCTTCGTGGTTACCAGAATTTGGAGGAAGTATTTCTCTGCCGTTTCCAGAGCTGGCAGCTTTCCTTGTGGTTGCTTTCCACAGATGGTCGTCCTTAATGAAGAAATCTGGCTACTTGTCGTCCTCCGAGGGTCAACCTGCGGGTTAACCTGGTCTGGCCACTCTGTCACCCAAACAAGTTCATCGCTGAAGTCATCTGGCTAAAGAGGGAACGTCTTCCAGGCTGGTGACTGTAGAACAGAGACAGATGGCTGCACTTCCACAAGCCGACCTCAATCAGTGAGACATTTCTTAGCTACCTGAAGGCGTAAAACAGCTTCTTGGGAAGCAGTGTTTGCCTTTTTGCTTTCACAGAAACATTTGGCTCAGATATCCATCTGCGCTTTCAGAATTTGCTTTATTAGTTAGATTTTATTGTGTGGTTTTACATTACCTTTAAAAGAACATCCAGATCTTCTTGAGTTTGCCAAGAATCCAATGTGTTTACGATTATTAGGACACTTTTGATGGATTCCTCTTTTATTTTATTGCGATAAACCACAAGAAGAGGTTTGTTGACCACATAATGTAGGTAAATTCAGCCGCCATCAATACCAGTAGGTCTTTAATAAAGAGATAGTAAAGACCTCAAATCGACCTATAAAACAGCCATTAAACCGCAGTAAAATGTAATCTGATACATCGTAATGCACCCATAAAAAATGGAAAAATGGAAAATCTCCAGAAATACAAACTTTTAAAGTATGTTTAATGTTTATATCAGTCCATAGTCTGTCTTAATGTCTGCCAGACTGCTGCGCATCCATCTCCAGACGACATTCCTCCATCTTCATCCTCAGGTCAGAGGTCAGGGGATGATCATCACCATGAGTCATCCTCATGATTATAAAAGCCTGGTGGAAGTGGGAAAACATTAGCAAACAATAGTTTATCAAGCGTACCGAACTTAAGTTATACTAAAATGAAACTATGTAATGTAAGATTAATTTTTACAAACCATATTTTACATAAAAGTCTAAGTACTAAGTATATTAGTAAGACTCAAACTTGTACATTGATATTAGAGTACATATTAATATAGAATAGCCTTCACGGCAAAAACGCAAAATCTCACCAAGTAACTGTTCAGTGACATAGAGAAGCTTGTTTTAAGTAAATAATCCCTTAATATTTAGGCAGATGTTTTCACTTATAACAAGGAAAAGGTGTCTTGTTATAAGTGAAATAATCTGCCCCAGTTTAGTTCAAAGAAGTATTAAATTAGTATAATTTCTAGTACACTACAAGTACATGGTGCAAAATATACTTTTATACTTATGAAATGAATTTCAAATATACCATTCTTTGTTAGGAGTTATGATCTTTGTATTGAGAAAATGCAATGGTACAAAAACATCACAATTTGACAATTAATAAAAACTTTAGACATGGAAAAAATGACACAACAACAAGAAACACTGTAAAAACACAGAGCAGAATCTAGAAACCTCTTTGAAAGTGTCCAAAGCGTCCTCCAGGTGCTCCAGGTGATGCTGCAGCTTCCCCACTCTCATCAGCTGAACTCCATGAACTGGATGAGGATCAGGGTAGAACAACCTGCAGAAACAACAGACAGAAGACAATTTACCTTCAGCTCAGTTATCTCTGTATTTATGTAGTTTTTGTTAAGGTCATTCTTGAGCTTAATTGAAAGTCTGGCTTTTGCTCAAAGCAACAGAAATCTCTCATCAGAGTCTGTGGACTCAGGATGGGCAGAAATGGTTCCAAGCAAAAGGTTTCCAAACAGCAGAGCGATCTGAAATGTGCTGTGTGCAAATAAATGTGTGTTGTATTTAAGCAGAATTAAAATCATACATTATGTGCAATAAAGTTACACTTTTAAACTTCTACAACCTTCTGAATAAACATGTTTATCTGGTTTTTCAATTTGTCCCATGTTCAGTTTTTGTTATAAGTGTGGAGTTTTCTGCAGGGCTGCATATCAGAAATATATTTAATTACAAAGCTGCTTCCAAGCATAACAATGACATGATCGATTATAATTAACACACTTTTTTCAGACATTTTTCTTTATGAGTAGACAACAGAAAGACTCGACACTTCAACATTGCAAAGCAACATTTTGCATCCAAGCAATTCTGTGTAATTCCAATATTGATAAAATATTGATAGATGTTAACATCAGGTTTGAACTGTATATTCATATTTTTTATTATTTCTATTCATGTGAACAACGAGCATCTAAAATATTAAATCTTAACCAACATTAGACCCAAAGCCAAAACTACTGTTCCAGTTTTTCTTGTCACAAAATTTTCCCTACGTTATTATGGCTTAGTAAATTGAATTTTGTGGTCTTTAGAAAACACTTCACTAAATGATAGATATTATCCCGACAAGACAAGTATCTCCATCCAATCAGACCTGAAGCATCGCTCTCCAGTTATCCCAGTTCAGCCAGATTAAAAAGGCCAATTTACCCAAAGGGGGGGGGGGGGGGTGGTTAAAAACCAGAGCAGCTGCGTCAATGAGGAAGACGGCCAGCCTCGAGAATGAGCCAGAGGAGCTTCATGTTTGTTCTGCAACATGAACAAACACAAGCAACTATTGGGAAACAGCTTTCAATGTTGGTTTTTAAAAACCTTTCCTATACCAAACTATGTTTTAAACTCCATCTTCCTGCCTTAAGTGTCTTTCGCCTTTGCTTACTAGTTTATTTTTTTTGGTTTTGCTTTCAGGCTTCAGGGTTTCAAGATGCTGATGTTCTTCAACTTCTCAAACCTTTACTCCATTTAATCTTAATTTGATTACACACACTGTAAAAAATCCTTTAAGACTAACCTGTATGATGGCATTAAAATGTTCAGCAGCAAAGTCTAAATCCTCCTTCATTTATATTCTCAAATTTGAATTTCAGGCGCAGCCTCTCCATCTTTCAGTCAACAGCCAGCATCATTATTATAGGAGGATGCACGCATAGGGTCAATACGAGTCCACTTCCCCCAAATTAACTTGGTTTATTTGTCAGACTGCTTCAATATGCTCTCAGTCGCATCGAATTTTAGAACAAAAAGCAATTAATATCAAGTAAAAATCTAAGTTAATTAAAACGAGGAGGCCACAACCTGAATAATCTATTACTCTGTGGCTTCTCTGATTATGTTCTAAGCTAGTTTTTGTTTTTCCCTCTCGGTGCTAATTGCCCATTTGTTCACACCGTCAAGCTCAACTAAACAACCAGCCGACATGCTGCCCAATTACAGGGGTGGACCCCAGTCCTGTGGTTAAAAGCGATTAGTTAAGCAGAGAATTCAGTTTCAAAGCCAACAGCATTAGTCCTCCATGAATAATAACACGTTGCAATATTGATTTAATTATCAATCTGTTGATTCTGGTTAGCGCAAAAACGCAAACACGCACACGAGGTCCACTTTCCAATTAGATTTCATTTTTGCGTATGCAACCAAAAGGCTATTAAAATAATTTCATTAACTTGGCGTCTCCTGACTTTTCACCTAATTTTCTTTTCCAGTGAGAATAAACTGAAGAGAAGTACGGAAAGCTGGTTAGAAAACCATAGCCTTCAGCAATAAGAGAGAGAGGAATAGAAATTAATAGTTGTGGAAAGTGTAGCATTTTAAAGCGAATGCAGTGGAACTAATTAGGTGCTTGTTTAGAGCTGAAAGATTCACACCCTGCTGTTTTTATAGGGGAGCGAAGCATAAATCGCCTTACTGAGGAGAAAAACGAAGGAGAGGAAAACCACAGCATTCTTCAGAGATGCATTTTTTATTCAACGTTACATCACTTCACTCCGACTTTCTTCCACAAATGAACAAACTTAGAACAACCCTGTGTTTATTAGTATAACAACAGATGACTTCCATGAGCTTTAAATCACATCTGATGTTTAGTCCTCGGTTTTCCACAGACAAATTAATGTTACAATTAGGCAAAGTCTCATGAGGTACAATGAAACCTAACATACAACAGTAATACAGTTCATTATTATACCTCAGTTTGCATGAAACATGATTGTTTCCACCAGAGAACGGAGCAGAAGTGAGAGCTTACATTTTATATAATTTCACAGGCAGGCTTACAAAGACTGAAATTCTACTGAGGCTTTTGTGAATGCTAGGCTAACATTTATATTCATAATCCAGCTGAATGTTAATGAAGAGTTGAGTTACACATTTTTGCCCTGAAACAACTGCAGCTGGATGCAATAATTCATGTTTACACAGAGACAGAAGGCACAAAAAGTAAAAAGTAAAAGTATATTGCCTTAGCTCTATATGAAAGCTATACTTTTATACATACATTTTTTCTTACAAATGCAGGTGTATGCATTACATATTCATGATTCATGAAAGCGTGTATGAGCGCATCTATGCCAGTAAAATACGGGAAGAATAGAGACGTTTGATGAGCCTGGCTTGCACAGCCTGCAGCAGGTGTGCATTATTCGCAGGGAATAACCTCTCTATACATCACAGGCTGGGAAATAAAAATTGGGAAAGCACTTGCTGTAAGAGTGAGGGAAGAAAGGAATGCAGAGTGAGAGGAAGGAGAGGAGAAAGAGAGACGTGGAGAGCTCCTGCAGCTACTTTCAGCCCAGAGGACGAGCCGAGATGAACGCAGAGTTTCCTCCTCCCACTCATTCGCCAGAATCTCCCCACTTCTCGTTTTTCATTATTTTACATTCATTGTGGCCTCCCTTCCTTGCAAAACATTATTTTCAGTGTTTTGGTGCTTATTTACGCATGCAATCAGTTTCTCTCCGCTCTGTTAACCCAGGTGAGTTTTCTGTCTTCCACTAAAGCTTCCCTAAACCTCCACAGGTTCATGGCAGAGATTTTATCAAGGAAGTTCACTCTTTTTTTTATTAAACTCAAGAGGGCTTGAAAAATCCCAAATCTTCCTCCACATACCTCTTTAGTTATGAATCTTTAACGTTTGAAGGAAAAAATATAGTTTTTTTTATCATTTCCCTTAATCTTTGAAAATCCCTCACTGCTCAGTGGATTGGTTTGTAATTTGTACAGCAAACCTTTCAGGTAACGTTTCCTCTGGAATCAGTTCAGATCTTTAATATCAAGGTTTTGCTCTGCAGAACAAATTCAGGCTGTGCATTTAAATATCACAGATCTCTTAATGGAAAAAAGAAGCAGGTTTTTGCACAAACTGCAGTAGTTATTTTTGTGCCACACATATAACATTTTAAATTAAACTAATCTGGATACATGTTAGTGTCTTGTAATGAAAATAGTTCATTGTTGGAGAAATAATCATCCTTGAAGTCGAAGATTGTACAATGCAAGAACAGAAAATCTGACAATTTTTTATATTTAAAGTTTCTAGTGCAAATATCTTAGCACATTTGAAATAAGAAAGCTAACTTCCAGGTAACTTTTCAGCAATAAATGGGAGCTTGTTTTAAGTAAATTTTTACTTAATGTTGATGAAAAAGTACTAGTTCCATTGTCAGATTATTTCTCTTATAAAATGGAAAAAATGTCTTGTTTCACTGGAAAAGTATTTCACTTAGAACTAGAACTTTTTCATCAATATTAAGGAATTACTGACGAAAGACAAGCTTATGCCATGCTGAAAAATTACTTGTAATTTTTTCATATTTAAAGTGGACTAAGGTATTTGCACTGGAAACTGGACAAAAAACTGTTTGGTAAAAAATTGTGTTTTTGCCATGTTGTCAGACACACAACAAGAAAATATACCCAAAATAACCTTTCATTAATATGTGAAAACTTTCTTCAGCACATTTATGTGCTAAAAAACTCTGGAAGTCATTAACAAACCACTTGTCTTTTCCAGCAGCCATTGTACAGCGCATACAGCGGTAAAGCCAGCTGACCAAACGTGCCGGAGGTTTTTGAAATGGCTCATTTTCCAGAAACCAAAAAACAGGAACTTATTGCTAAAAAAAAAAAAAAACAGCTGGGTGGGTTTCTTAAAGACCAAAATGGAAGTACAAAAAAAGTGTAAATTATTAAATTTGCATAATAGGTCCCCTTTGAAGCAGAGTTAAGTTACAAGATAAAAGCTCTGCTCACTCCCTCATCTGATTATGCCCACATCAGCTCTGGAGGAGCTGTAGACATCTCCAGCTCAGGTGGTTAAATCTGATAACAGGGCAGATGTTAGTCATGTACTCCACAAATCTGGCCTTTAGGGAGGAGCAAGAAGAAAGCCATGTTTTTTAAATTACCCAGATCCCCAATCTTCTCACCACCGCCACTATTTCCTTCTGCAGCTCGGAGTCTGCTTATTTATTTATAAGCTGTGTTGTGGTTTCTCTCCTGTGGTTCGTTGTTGCTGGTGTGAGCGAGAGCACGGCTGTGCCACTGGAGCTCTGCCCTTCACACAAGATCAATTAGTCTCACACACACACAAAGGAAAGTGCATAAGAGGTGGAAGGCTGAGAGGGAACATACCGCACTGCAGAAACAAGGATGCAGAGGTGTGTGAGGGTTGTACATATCAAATCAGACAATAATTCACCTCAGGTACTTCTAGGATGTCCACATATTTAAATTTCTATGTTTTTAACTTCAAGCAAAAAGAAGTTAATCAAAAAAGAAGTTAATTCAATGAAATATTTTCTGTGATACTGACATTTTTACGTTTAGAAATACTTATCCCTCACATTCTCTCCTACCTTTTTATATTTCCCACCTGTCGCACAATCCAATGATCCAGGGAAGAAGATGGACAAATCAGGTTAAGGGCACTGAACAAATCGAGACATAATTTCTTCGCAGCCATCATTTGGAGCTGACGTTTATTACATATGAGGCGTGGCACCGCTCCATCATCATCTCTCTGTTGTACTGTTACTGTACTTTATGATCTCTGTCTCTGAGCAGAGCAATGTGAAAACATATAGAATTACTTTTAGTTCAATTTAGCGTATAAACCCATGTGAGGTGTTACAGATGTTGTATGGAGACCCTGGCAGCTTTTCCTATTATTGCTTTTTTCCTACCGCCAGGATGAAAATGAAAGCCAGATGCCAGACAATTTAGAAATATGGCACAAAATACTTAAAAGCTGTAAGACTAATTTGTAGAGCTGAAGTTATTTATGGTCTAATTCAGCAATTTGACTGCTGCTGTGCATAAAATATGCTGTATTTACAACTGCTAATGCCATAATCTTGAGTAGTTTATTAAATAAAAATGTTCATTAGCACGCCAGACCTTCATTACCGTGAACTCTAATGATTTGCATTCATGGCACAATGCAAACTGTTTTATATTTAATGCCTCCAACACCAGCCCCAACTAAATGATCATCATAAATCACTGTAAAAGTCACAGTCAGCATAGTAAAAGTTTAAACCCAATAAACGAAATCGTCAGAAATCTGTAAAATGATTATTTAAAATCAGAGGTTACAATACAAAGATTACGAGGCCAAATATGATTTTCTCCTTTAAAACCTTAACATACAGTCATTGGATTCAAACATGCTTCATGTAACGGAGATTTTCTAAAGAATTAAAACTCACCTGTAAGCTGGAAGTGTCTGCTTGCCGTATGTCAGAGCCTCCTCCCACTGCCCCAGCTGAACAGCAGCATCTAAAGCCATGTCTGTGACCCTCAGCCTGTACAGATTTTCATCAGGAAGTTCAGCTCCAGCAGCTGACAGCAGGTTACTGCAGCTCTCCAACAACGCCGGCCAATCTACAGGGACAAGAATTAAGGAAGAGGAACAACAATCCTAAAAGTTTTATGTAAATATGTCTGCAGGCATTATGTGTTGATTTACAGATACAAAAGAAAAGTCACACATTTAATTGGCAATTATAAAAATAAAATAAAATTCAGGATATATAAATATTTACACCCCAACGAACATCTGAATATGATTTATGATTGTGGCGAATTAGTCATGTTAAGCTTTCATATTAACTACAAAATGTTTCTAAAATGCCAACATGACCAAACACTGTAGTTATTGTAAAGTCAGCAGATGTCTACAAAGACTAATCATCAATACTTGATTACAGTTACTGGGAATCCGACGTTTTTGTGCTGGAAAATGGAGGGAAAGGATACTGGACTCGGTTTTCAGTCCTTCCAGTCTCGGTAGCGCCACCTTCAGCTGCTGCCACTTTTCTTCTTCCCCCGACAGAATGAATCCATCCTGAATCACAGGAAAACAATATAAAAACTAACCAGATATCTTGGTCTGGAACGATCTTAGAGGTCGCTGCAAACTCACTGACCACCAGAGAAAAAAAAAAGTAAAAACAGGAAATTGGATCAGTTTAAGTTGTATATTTCTGGGGCTAATAATCAGAGTGCTGAGGAAAAGTATTCATGCTGTTAACTTTTTCACATTTTCCCACGTTACACTAACTTCAGTGTATTTTATTGGGATTTTATGTGATAAAACGACACAAAAAGCACATGGTTGTAAAGTGGAAGGAAAAGAGACATTATTTTTTAGATTTTTCATTTACATTACATTCATTTGTTTTTGGTCCCATAGAGTCAATTACTTTGCTGAACCATATTTTGAGGTCTCTTCTGGAAAGTTTCCATCAACTTCACAAGACAAGAAATTGAAATTTCTTCCAAGCTTATAGCTGCGAACATTAATTATCCAAATCCTCTGGTTAAGGAGAAAAAAAAAAAAAAAAACAGAAATGTACATCAAATTTTGTGGTTGCAATGAAACAAATTGCGGCAAAATTCAAGATGTATTCACGGCACTTTAAAGAACAAATTCAAAACTTAACTTCATGCCAAATATTTTACTAAATCCTACTGACATATCAGTTAAATCATTTCAAAACAATGTAATTTTTTTTATAATATGTTCTTACAAAAGCACTCCTCTGCCTTCATGTCGCCTATGTTGCCATGATAACTTCAGGTCACAACTGTGCAGCCGGTCGTCAGATTAAAGCAACTGAAATAACACACAGCGTCTGTGTTGCACTACAACAAAGGGTTAGTTGAATAAAATAAAGCCATTGTGGCAGAACCCAACCGACTCACACACACACACAAGAATAAAGAGGCACAGCACTTCTTGTGTGTATGGGAAATGTCATTTAAATCCTAGAATAGAGACATCAAAGGCAAAAGTGAAAGGAGAAACAAAAAGAGAAAGAGTGGGAGAAAGTAAACAGGCAGAGTTGGACGGAAACGCTGCGAAATCAGGGCAGGAAGACGAAACCGGCACAGATGGATGGAAAAGAAAAGTGCAGCTGAAAGACAAGATAATTTTCTCATTTTTCAGTAGGTGGCCAGGCAGACAGAGGGAGGGCGTAGAGAGGTGGAGCGTGACAGAGTGACAGAGAAGAAGAGGAGGACAGCAGGAGATAAGAAAGCATGTCAGAGTGAAGGAGGGAAGAGGAGAGAAGGACAGGAGAGGGTACACCGAGACACGTTATGCACTGATACGCTGTCTGAGCAGCAGAGTAAATGTGTGTGAAGGCAGGAGAAGGAGGATGGAGGAACACACACGGGTGTGTTTTAACTTCTGAAAACATTTAGCCCATCCATTTAATCAATATATCATCATCAGGTTTAGTTCAGCTGAAAAAAAAAAAGACAATTAGGACCGGACGATATGGCTGAAAGACCTATCATGATATAAGTGTTTCATATCGGTCGATATCGATAATTATTAATTAGGTATTTTTTTATATTAAATATCTAAAATCCTGCCAAACTGACCCCGTCTCTTTTATCCACAGTTTTCACTCCACTCCTTTGTTTTATTTTTAAGCAGTTATGGGGCACGGTGGCAAAACCTTAACCTGCTGCTTTGCCAGTTACTCAACATGTTGTTGCTAGGTAACCAAAGAAGTAGTGAGTTGCTAGGTAACCAGAGAGTGAGTGAGTTAGTTGATTCCACCGTCCTTGTTTAAGCCGTATCCATTCATATTGATCACGTGTCTATACGTTGTTACCAATTTAGCGTCCACAACAATATCATTATCCTTTGTGGTAATTTAAAAGAGAAACTTTTTTTTCTTTTTGAAATACAAATGTTTGCATTCAGAGACATTAAAGTTTGGAAATTTTCTCCTGTGGGAGATGAGCTCAGATCTAGAGAGAGTAAACAAAAGCACATTTCGAAAAGCCTTAAACAACTCCAAGTCTCCACTACTTTTCAAGAAGTTTAAAGGTCACAAATAAAAAAAAATTGAACAGAAACAAATAAAATCAACATACTTCCAAAGTTTTGATAGTCTGGGCAAAATAAATACATTTTGAATCTTCTCATATTTAAAGAATGACCTTGCAGGAGGACAAAACCTGCTTTGTCTGCACAGTATGACATATGAAGGTATTACGATTGTTTTCATTGGCATTCGGAAAAACATATCTTTATGTTTCATTTCTTGCTTACTTTGCTAGAAAAATGCCAAAATGTTGTGCTACTGAGTTTTGTGGGAGCATTAAAGAATATTGTGAATCTACATGAACCAATCTGCATCTATCCTGTCTCCTGACAGACACAGCTCCCCCTGCCGATTCCACTATCGATTCCAGTTTTAGGCTCAAGATGCGCCATAAATCAATGCTATGCTGACAAACACATTGCAACTATTTGTAAAAACTATTTGTAATGTCTTCCTCCATTAGGTAGAAAGGACTCATGAGGCATGTTGACACAAAGTTGCATTAACAGGACAAAAGATCCTGTTTTCTTTCACATTGTTGATTTTTGCAGTATCCTTTACCTCTGTTGCCAGTTAAAAGCTTCACATATGTCTGATATTCCCATTAAAAAGGTATTCTTAAAACAGCAAATGTCCTATTTGCAACAAATGTGCATTAGACACTGCTAATCCATATATGGAACTAACTTCCTGTTTTGACTACAAAGGTTGTTACTTTTCAGCTAAACAAAACAATAGGAAGGTCAGTTATCATTTCTTTATATTTTGTAATGTAATATTTAAAGGTTTCAAATCTCTAAAATACATTTGCCATACAAAACAATATGAAACAATCTTCAATGGATCCTGCTCTAAGTAGGTCTTGAATCAAGGCAAGTTTATTTTTATAGCACATTTTAGCAACAAGGCAATTCAAGGACACAATGACAACATAAGCAACAAAAAATATATATATAGCAGTGGATAAAATAAAGGAAATTTGTAAGTTTGAAGAAAGACTATATAATAACTAGAACATCATTCATTTTAATGAAAGGCAGTTCTAAACAAACAGGGTTTTAGCCTTGATTTAAAAGAACTTTCCAGACGTTTTGCAGAATAAATACAGAATAAAAAAGCAGCAAAAAATCCCCACAAATCATTTCTATAAAGATTCAACCACACAAACAAATCACTGCTTTCTCTGATTTTGTTTTAAGAATAGAGTGATTTTTGTTTTGTTTTTTATCAGTATGTTTTAATGCAATAACATAACATTTATTTGGACTGAGGATGAAAATAGTAAAACGTTTCCAGTAATTTTAAAGGTTTCTGTTCATCCTCACCTCTTTTTTTGAGTTGCATCTTTGGCAGTGGCAGACGAAGTGGTACTGCTCCTCCAGCTGCTTCTGCCGCTCTTCAGTCAGGGACAAAGTCTCAATATAACTTATCGTTAACTAGACACAGGAGAGGACATGACACTCAAAGTCACACTTTTTGAATGTGAAAGCGAAAGTGTCTGCTTTCATAGCACTTTGGAATATTTTGTGATAATGCAGAGCACAATTAAGTGTGATTTTGTGAAGACGGATAAAAAAAAAACAGATGAATTTGAGTGAAACTGTGCATGGATTAATGTTTTGCTGTGGCACTATGTGTGTGTGGATGTGTGAGAGTCTAAGTCCAGATGGCAGGGATGAATCTCATTATATTTAGTCACAATGCATCTCATTACACAGTCACAAGGGATGATGGGAAAAAAAATTGAGAAACACAGCCGTGTTAGAAGCCGTCATCCTGCTTGTGCTGCTTGTGCTACAGAGATGTTTCACTAGGATTACTAAAGTTTATTGTGCTTCTATTGAGAAGCACAATAAACTTGAGTGATGCATCATTTTCAGATGATGCATCACTCAAGAAAAAACTAAAAATTGGGAAAACAGTAAATTAAATATGATAAATGTTGCTATAGAGAGAAAACATAAAAGAAGAATCTTGTTCCACGTTGTTCATGGTGTATAAATATAGGATGAATTTTCTTCGTCTTACCTCGTCTTTAGGGCGAATGTCCTGGACGGCTCGGAGCTGCAGCCGCTCACCCTCAAACACCATCACACAGTTTGGCCGACAGTCATGATTCAACAGGGATAAACTGAGACAGTTGAGAAGAAGAAGAAAAAGAGAGGACAGCAGAGCAAGAGGAGCAGGTAAAACAGGAAGACGATCACCAAAGAGCAATAAAGGAAAAGAGGAGAAAGAGGAGCAGAAGGAAGGGTCAGAAAAAATAAGTAATTTGTGTTTAACAGAAATTTTACATTTTCTGTCTAACAAAATTAAATCATTTACAACTGCAGTTCGTAATGTCTTGTCATCAGACTAGAAACCATTTAACTGACAGACTTCAGTCTAAAAATATAAAGACTAAAGCCTGAACTGATTTTACAAAGGCTCAGTTGATTGGCGACTAAAAACAAGAGATTTTGTTTTTCCAAACATATATCCTACAGAGAGAAATATAATTAATTCATACATGTCGACTAAAAAGGAACACAGTTCTGGTCAGATGTTTACATACATTCATTTGCAAAACATTTATAATTTTTTAATCAATTTTGGGCCTGGTGCGATCACTTAAATTGTTCTGTTCGTTATTACACAACATGCAACTGCAATACACTTTTGAAACCAGAACTGGCTGCTAAAGTCTAGAGTTATAATCAAATTACTTTGAAATAGTATGACGAAATAAATACATAAACCTAACATTTGGTTAAATGTCGACATTGCTGAGAAACCACAGGCTTTTTGTAAACATATAAAGTGAAAGATGCTGGAACATCACTGTCACTGAATGAATTAAAATGAGTTTAAGATCGCCCTGCATGGAGGGATAAACCAATAATAATAATAATAATAAAAAACTCCTGCTGCTTTATCAGCACCTTCAAACTAACAGAAAGCCTCTCTCATTTACCAGCTGAATGCCTTCTGGAGGAATGTTTATGGTGAGGAGACAAATAAAAACATTAAAGAAAACTATAATAAATTTAAACTTCTGAATCCAATTCTCCGTTTTTAAAATCATTAGAGTTGCCTGATGTACTTTCATTTTACCTCTAAAGTAGAATGGTTTAAATAAATTATCAAAAAGACCACAATTATTATGATAATCGCATACAAACTGTACAATACATGAGATTAAAAAGTTATACTTAAAAAGTATATCATAGCAACTATAGGGAAAATACAAGCAGCGACTTTCAAAAAAATAAAGTAAGTTACAGTACAAAAACTTCACTAAATACATGTTAAAAAATAATTAAAAATAGAGAATATTTAAGTGACTGTAAGAATTACATTAATTTTACTGCATCAAGGATATCTCATTTAAATCTGTCTATGGGTCATTATTTATACCTACTGGTATGCCAGGTCTTAATATTTTCCCTTTTGGATGAAAAAGGGAGTGTATTTCAGCATTTATTTTATTAAATATATATTTTAAACAAGAACTAAAAGCATTTTCAAACAGATTTATTTAAAACTTTAACTTATAATTAAAATTCCTATGAACAGAATATCAAAAAGATGTTTCACTGCTTGAAACAGCTAAAGTAGGTCTGCTCTGATTAACCATTAAATGTTTTAACTAATAGATGATTTAACATATCAGCGGAGAAGCTTAACATTTTCTTAATTGTACCATAAAAGAAGAAATGCAAGTTTGACACTGCATTTATAAAAATCCTTAAAAAAGTGACTCCTAAATCAAACAGAAGCACAGAGTGATAAATTAAGCCCTCTGCTTCTGTCACAACAAATCCCACTCTTTATTTCTTCCTGTCAGACTTCCTGCATCTCACAGACAAACAAAAACAACAATAGATTCTCAGCCTGTGTCAAAACCAGTTTATTTCATTTCCCAGACCTATATTCTAGTGATATCTTTCTTCTTTTGACAGCAATTATGGGATTTCCATCAGCATTTCTGATGCAAATAATAAGGCTGACAGTTATCAAAGGTTCATAAAAAATGTGGTGTATATTAATGTCTTTAAACTGGTTTGCCCAATTTTTATTTTTACACTTTCTACTTGATTCAATAAAAAAAATTATTTAAAAATATTTTTAAAATGAACTTCTCAGAGGTGATTTTTGTTTTCTACTGACACTTTGCTTAATCACTCAAGGCGCCATGATGGACGTCGGAAAGGATCGGGAGTATTGAACTGAGCGACTGAAATGTTTTTCCAAAGTTGTTTTTGTCAGTTTATTCATGGCTTCTACTTGTTCGAGTGGAAATAATTTGTCTGTGAGCGTAACACAAATGGTCGTGGCTCAGAGACGGCGGTATTTATAAAACAGCTAGCTTAGAAACCGACCCATGCCATAATTTGTTGATCAAAATTACCGACTTTGCCCGATTTCACACCACATGATTTAAATGATTAAGTCATAAACAGCGTTCCTGCTTACGCCGAAGAAGCCTTAAAAATTTACAAAAGATTAGATGTTAACCAGTTTTTTTTTCCCATACATGTTAGGCTACCTGACGGTAGGGCACTGTTTCCATGGTTACCAACGGTTAGCCACGTACCTTCTCCGTAATGCGATATTTGATATTTTCTGATCATACTTAAGTATAAAGTATATGGTCGTTAATCTTCTTACCTTGTAAAAAGGGTTTGCTGCAAATCCACAGTTTTACCGAGGGCTGCCAGTCATTACGACTGATGGCTGCTATCCGTCACCTCCAAACCTTTCCTCGTTAGAAGTTACGCAATAAAATGACAAGTTTGGTTTCTATCCTTGTCTGTTTGTGAATTCGACCCCGCAGCATCCTATGACATTTTTTTACTGCGAAATCAACTTAATAAAAGCGATATTGGCTACCAGGTGTGCGCTTCCTGACGCATACCTGGTAGCGTATCGGTTTTTGACGTCCATCATGGCGGAGCAGGCCGAGTTTCGAAGAGAGTGACGTCACGTGCTCATTAGGGTCAATATATTATCACACATTTTTTTATTTTCATTTTTCGTTCCATTATTGGCTACTGTGCTGTGTTTTATGGTTTGAAGCACTTTGACTTGCCTTGTTGCTAAAACACAAATACATTTTACTTGACTTTATTTTCCTATTTACACTAGTAGAACGAAATATAAAAGGAAAATTGTAACCTTATAAAGCCTATTTCATGCCACAATAGACACATAAAATTTTTAGGTAGAACAAATATTTATACATCTATAGGTCATTAATTATAAACTACTAAGAGGGAGGTTTTTGATCTCACGCAAATGCATACATGAAAACATTTTTGATTTTATATTATCACAAAGTACAGTTGTATCTCCATTCCAGCCATGAACAGATGCTTTGCTGCAACTTTTAGATTTATCAGTGTTTCAGCACACATGAACTATTTGCAGAAGAGGAAATTCAACCTTTTGATTCTGGCATGTCGGAGCAGAATATTTCCTAAAGTTGCTGCACAAAAAGGCTTGAATCAAGCATAAGTTTTACCTGAATTTATTCAAATAAAACAACACAGTATATAATAATGGCAGCATTATGCAGTACCTCAATCAACAGAAAGTGTCAACAATCCTAACCATAAACCCCAAGTAAAAGTCTGGAAATGGGCATTTAGTCAACTGTAAATCTGTACCTGATGAGCATATCTCCTGCAGCTTGACGAGAATTTAACTCTCATTAAGAAGCCCTCAGCACAACGTGAAAAAAGACATTTAATATCGCTGCACACATGGCTGGGAAAAAACACTGAAGGGGTCTGTGTGCTTTTACAGCCCCCTTCGTCACCGCAGCTATCGTTTATCATGTTCAGTGAAACAATGGGTGCATGAGATTAAGAATGCGTGTTCAGCCTTTGCAAAACCATCAATAACGCCCCTGGCTTTACTCTACAGTGGAGAAGTTGCAGGTTGAATATCAACTAGACATCAAGCCCTCTGAAAGATGCTTTTATCTTGAAGGGGAGCAGCTCATTAGCATGCTAATTAGATTAATTGACTAACGACTCACATAAACGGTATCTGTGAAAGCAAATTTTGCTGTGTAGAGGGGTGGAGAGTGAGAATATGATCCATACATCTGATACTTCTCAGGAAAACATGCAGAGAACTGTAACGTTATTTAAAATACAAGCCTTTTATCAGGAGTGGAGACTGCCAGCCCTTGACGTCGGCCTGTCCTGAAGGTTTTAGATGTTCCCATGCTCTAACGCTCAGGACTTAAAGGCTGCATCATTAGCAGGTTTCTGCAGAGTGGATTCACGGGGTTTTACTCGCGAGTTCACAAGTCAGAGCAGACTCACTTTATCTTCATTTATTTTAAGTTTATTTAAATTTAAACAGAGTTAAGACACATGCAACACTTGCAGTACCAAGATAGCCCACATCTATTTTAAATATGTTAAAACCTCAAAAGTTCTAGAAAATCAGAATTACGTCTGTTACATTTTGTTATAAAGTGGTATGTTCCAGATTTATCTTTAATTACTTTTATTTTTGAGTCATGATTCAAAATGCTAATTTATCAATTTGTCCCATTTCCCATTTAATCTCTTCCCATTTCCTATTTGTACTCTTAAATTACCTTTTTACTCCCAAATATTAAAACTGCACAATTTGTTTATTTCACTTTGTCGTTAGCTAATTTAATGGTTTCTTAAACTTTTTTGTGTTGTAGTTTCCTTTATTTTGTAATTACTGTTTGTACTGATTATATTTATTGACAGAATGTGTGTAAAGTCATTTTAACACAGAGTTTTTCTTTATCTCCACTGAAAACGTGAAATTCCTTCAAGTTCAACTAAAGTTGCAGGATTTTACTAATTTAATTGAAACTTTGTCATAACTAACATTGGTATCTAAAATTAAACAAATTTGCAAGGAAAAAAAAAGCATGTTATGAAATTTCAAGTTAGCAGGAAATTTGAACTGCCAAGAAGCATAAAGTGGGAAATTACTGAAACTAAATGCTGCTAATATTTAAAAGTTTTGTAAATGTTTAGCATCCTGCAACGGAAACGCACCTTTAGTCCCGATAAACACTCAAGAGTTTTTAGATCATATGTTCAGTGTGATAACTGGCCCTGAAGCAATACTGGGAATAAAATTTTCCAGAAGTAAACCAAAGGCGAAAAAGTAGTTTTTGAAGTACAACAAAGCCAGAATACAGAAATAAAGAGACTAGCTGAACTGAGGTGCAGCCGTGGAAGAATAATCCCCCGACTTTCTTTAGCAAACCCACGGTTGCTAGGCAACCTAAAATACGAATAGACAGGGGAGCATCCTGCAAACGAGTCCATCATTTATGGATGAGTAGCAGCACAAATCACACCCAGACACGCGGCTTGGCTGAGCTTCACTGATGCCACTGCGACCATCTGACATCTCGACGCCGGCCAGATAAACTGGCTGGGATACCTGCGGCGTCAGTGACCGCACTGGTGTGTGTGTCCATGTGTGTGTAGCAGCACTAACAGCATGTACAACAACAGGCCAAATCCCACCCCGTTCACCCAGGAAGCAATGGAAGGGATTACCGAGCATATCGGCTTGCTGTGTGTGTTTGTGCACGGACCTTTCACTTTCACAGTCCAGACAACAACCGTTTCATCATTCACACAACACTTCCAGTCAAATCTCATTTTCCCTCAAAAGACGCTGACTCCTGTCGCCCAAACTGTGTGATGATATTCCTCCAGGTTTTCACCTAACAAGGGCTTAAAAAAAAAAAAAAAAATCAAGTCTTCTTTTCCCTCCCTTTGCTTCTGACTTCAAAGAAGTGTCAGGACAGAGCGGGAAGCGCTGCAAGGGCTTTGAACGTGCGCAGCGGTGAAGGACTGATGGGGCAAAAACTGCATCTCCAAGCTGCATTTTAATCTAGTCAAAGTTACAAGACTGGGCGAGGCAAGCTATACCAAAATTAATTAAACATTTTTTTCAGTTCTGTGGGCTTCAAACCCTAATATTATTGCATATGCAAGAGTAAAAAAAAAAAAAAAAAGAGTTACCTTGGATAAAGCCCCACTCCGACCTCCTGCAGCTCCCCGTCACTGATGGTGAAACAATTACACGTCACCTTAAGAAGAAATCAGAGAGAAAAAGGATGAAACAAAGGAGAGAAAGTGATTATCAGCTACTGCAGGGTATCAAAATAACTTTAATCTTTTGTTATTCTCACATATATGAAACTGGCATACAGATTTGCAGGTGTTCAGGTTATTTCTGAGTAGCAGAAGAAAGCCTTTTCTCTCCAAAACGCAAAATCTTACAAACTATATTTGTTCTAGTTTCAAGTGAAAATACCTCACACTTTGAAAAAGAAAAGAAAAACAACAACTAACTTACAAGTAGCTTTACAGCAAGATACAAGTCAATATCAGGAATTATTGACTTGTATCTGATTAAAAAACTGATTAAAAGGACCAACTACACAATATCTGGCTCTGGTTGGACATGGACACAGACTTAAAGTCGACAGCTGGACAAAATGAATCAAAGAAGTGGTGAGAAAACATGTTTATTTTAATTGAAACAGTACAAACTGTAGCTTACATGCATTTGTAAAGTAAATAAAGTGCACCAAGTACCCTGCGATACCTTTTTAATAGTTTGATACCTTTTTAACCTGGACACTTAACATCTGAAGGAATCACTCTAAGCCTGAACCTAATCACTCTCCTGGCGAAGCAAGCAGTGAGTGAGCAAGGTGACAGTTGGAGGTTACGATACTTGCGGATGAATATCGATTTTTTTCTAGGAAAGAAAATATCGATATCACAAAATCGATATTATTACACAGCCCTAATATTGACTAAAAAGTACTAGTTCAAATGGCAGATTATTTCACTTGTGACATGGGAAAAATGTCTGGTTGTAAGTGAAATAATCTTTTTTGTAAAAAATAAGGAATTATTGATTAAAACAAGTTCTTATTTCTTGATGAAATGTTACTTTTAAGTTAGTTTTGTCTTATTTCAAGCATACTTAGATATTTGCACTAGAAACAACCACACATACTTGTTTTTGCAGTGTTTAGAAGCAAAACAAAGAATAACAGCACAATTTTTCATCAGCTATACTAATCAAAGGTATTTTAGTAATTGGACAACCATCCATGTGAAAGGGGGTAACAGTCCAGAAATTAGAATAAATAATAAAAACTATAAAAACACCTTTGAGGTAAAAAAAATAAATAAAAATAAATAAAAATACTTATTCACTCAGGGCATTGCAATAAGAAAAACAGAAAAAAAAATCTTATGTAAGAGTGTGGAACATTTTATAGGAATGGTAGATTATTCCAGCACAAATCAAATCCAGCCAAAAAATCTAATTAAAGTCTAATAAACTGCATTAGCTTCATCTGGTTAAGCTTGTCTAATTCAAGATGATTCTTACTGTCTGGGGAAAAACAGAGCCTGCTCTGTCTGGAAATTTGATTCCTGTGGAAACATTTTGTTGGTTTTACATAACAAATATATTTCTGAACAAACACAATTCAGGCTACCTGAGTCACTTGTTCATAGAAACACATTTCAATGTAATTACAGCCATGAGCACAGACTGACATTTTTACTTATTCTTCTTTGGAAAGCAGCTCAAGCTCCGTCAGATTGGATCGGCGACATCTGTGAACATCACGTTTAAAGTCTTACGAAAGAATCAAAATTGGATTTAGTTCCTGACTTTGACTGGTCCATTGTTACACATGGATCTAAACTATCCATGTATTGACCTTGTTCGACTCAGTCACTTAATCATTGGAGGCGCCATGATGGACGTTGGAAGTGAGGGACAGTGTTGCACAGAGCAACTGAAATTGTTCTACCAAGTTCGAGTCGAACTAATTTGTCTGTGAACGTAACACACCTGGCGATATTTACAAACGTTGCAAATAGCTAGCTTAGAAACCGACTCATCATACCGTTTTCCTTTGACGTGTTGATCAAATTACCGACTTTTCCTGAATTCACACCACATGATTTATATCACTGTGTCATAAACAGTGTTTCACCTTACACCAGAGCAGACTTAAGAGACGAGATGCTAACCACTTTTTTTCCATACATGCTAGACTACATGACGGTGCCGCATCGTCTCCATGGTTACCAATGGTTAGACGCGTACCTTCTCCATAATGCAATGTTTCATATCTTTCTAATCATACTTACTTATGTGCTTATGAAGTATATCAACGAAGTATGTGAACGTTAATCTTCTTACCTTGTAAAAAGTGTTCGCTGCAAATCCGCGGTTAGACCGCAGCTGACAGTCATTATGATTAACGGCTGCTATCAGTCACCGCCATATTTTATCTCGTTAAAAGTTATGCAATAAAATCTCAAGTTCTATCCTTGGCTGTTTGTGCAGCCGACCACTCAGCGACCATTTTTACAGCGAAATCAACTAAATAAATGCGATATTAGGTTCCAGATGTCTGTTTTTTGACAGGCTTTACTGGAGCGCATTAGTTAGTATGACCTCCATCATGGCGGAGTGGGCGGAGTTCTGAAAAGCGTGACGTCACGAGCAAAGAATCAGTTGTCCTGCTGAAAGATAAACCTTTGACCCAGTCTCAGGTCTTTTGCAGCTTTTAACAAGTTTCCTTCTGTTATTCTCTTATTTAAGCTCCATCCATCTTCCTACCTATCAACTTTTTATCAGCGCCACTGCCACAGGTAAAAAAAAAAATCTCCTGACATGATACTGCCACTGCCATACTAAAAAATAGGCGCATTGCTTACAGTTTATACATCACAGTGATGCAAGGTTATTGCAGTTAACTAAAGATAATGAAATAAAGATATATTGAGAAAACATTTTTTGTTAACTGATATAAATGTTGAAAAGTACCTTGAAATGTACCTAGAATTACACTTTGCTTTTATAAAACTAAAACATACTGAAATTATAGAAGTAATGTCCTTTACTTTCATGTTTAAAAACTTATTTATAAGCCTTTTGAGTTAATGTGAAATTGATTTTTTTTTTCTTCCCTACACAAGCAGTTTACGTCAGCTTCCGGCAAATTACGGCACTCCATATTTCTGCTGGTGGCGTTTACGCTAACCCACAAAATGGTGACAGAAAATGTTGGGATAAAACACCAGAGTCAGCTGGTTGTTCAACAATAATTGAATACATTTTTTGAAAATGGTTTCTTCTGCTGAGCTGTTAGCAATCCATGTATGCACAATCACAATACTTTGACCTTTTTGAATTCTGCACATAAAAATGAATGACAATACCAAAGTATGACATACCATACTTTGGTATGACATACCAAAGTATGGTATGACTTTGGTATGTCATACCAAACTGGTAATTACTCCTATAATTACCAATTATAGGAGTAATTGGTAATTGGTTTTTACCAATTACTCCTATAATTGGTAAAAACTGAACTACAGCTAAACAAGATTTAACTAATAAAAACTAACAGACTCTAAATATGAATTAAAACTGAATTAGACAAAAAAAAGCAAAATAATATAAAACTAAACTATAATGAAAAACCCAAAACTATTACAACCCTGGTCTGTTTCTACGCAGATCCAGTTGTTCATATGGGCTGTACAATCTCAAACATTAAATAACATTAAGCTTCTAGTTTACTCTGACAGTCAGCAGAACCTAACATATAAAATGAAGTTACAAAGAGAAAGTTTAAAATAAATAAGTGAAAAAATAAACCCACTATCGTTTATTTTCATGCTTTTCTGTTTTTCCGCAGGTTTAACATTGAAACTTTGGCTACATTAGTATTCACTCAACATTCAGGCTGACACATAAAGAGAAAAATGCAGACATTCAGTGGGAGGATTAGGATTTACAGTGAGCTACCGACAAATGTTTTCCACTCTGGCTCATTTTCACATCAAAACCAAAAGTCATCCAATGATTTGATGTAAGTCTGCAGCTGTAGCAAACATAAGTTCGCTCAGACCCCAGGGGAGCCAAGAAGTTTTCACTCAACTTATTCAAAGTTTGACTGAATCCTTCACTTTCCACACACACTTCACTGCTATGCAGTTTTTCATTAAGATATTCATCATATGTGTCGAAAAAAGAAGGGAAGACAATGCAAGGAGATACAGTAGATCAAATAAAGTGTTACAGTACAGCAATCAGGATTAACCAGAAAAAAAAAGGTTTTATTTAAAGTTTTGATCTGCTGAAGCTTAAAACATCAATTACATTTACTGCCAGGCCTCAAGAAATAACCAAAGAGGCTCCAACTGGAAAAGTACTGCAACAAATTAAACTTAACCAACTCAAACTGGACTAATGAGGAGCTACTTCCTCCGTAAACAACAATGCTAAAAGACACATCCTCGGGTGATGGAAAACATGCAGCTCTCTTTTAGAACAATTGAATTATCAGTCTGCATGGAGAAAACAAAATAATTTAAGACTGCTGGGATTATTAGCATAAAAACCAACAGTAGAGGTAGAGCTGGAAAAAAGCCCTAAATGGCAAAATCTAAGCTGGAAATAAAATCAATAGAAGAACAAGAAGTGTTTCCACACTTTAACAAAGAAACTAAGGAATTAAACAGGCTGAGCGGTCGGGTCAAAAAGAGATAGTTTTGATTTGTACAAGTGAAAGTCTATGAAACACAACTTTATAATAATGTAATAATAGAGTTATTTTTCTGTTAGTTTTAATTTAGACAGTTATTTACACACAAGTTTATTAGGTCTGAAACAATTAATCAGATTAACTGTGATGAATAAATTATTGAAATAATCATCAACTCATTTAGTTAATGATTAATTGTTACCTGGAGTACACAAACTCAAAAAAATGTCATTTCGTGACATATTTGGGGCAATACTTAAACCAAAATTGTACAAAATAAACATACATTTAAGATAAAAAACACTTTTGTCCGTACGTCTTACCCAAAAGTCCTTTAGTGGCATAATTTTAGCTTCACCCAGTTCAAATTAATTATATATTATTGTTCTTGATTAAACAAGAATTGAGCTGTTTGTTCTTTTAACGTATTTCTAAATCTCTAGAATGTGGCAATTTTTCAACAAATTAATCAAATTAATCAATTACTTGTCAGA